AAAAAAAAAAATTTTTTTAAATGCTACCATTAGAGACTAAACGTTAACATTAGTATTAGAAATTTTGGGCGCCTGGGTGGCGCAGTCGGTTAAGCGTCCGACTTCAGCCAGGTCACGATCTCGCGGTCCGTGAGTTCGAGCCCCGCGTCAGGCTCTGGGCTGATGGCCCGGAGCCTGGAGCCTGTTTCCGATTCTGTGTCTCCCTCTCTCTCTGCCCCTCCCCCGTTCATGCTCTGTCTCTCTCTGTCCCAAAAAATAAAATAAAAACGTTGAAAAAAAAAAATTAAAAAAAAAAAAAAAGAAATGTTCAATACAGGGGCGGCTGGGTAAGCCTCTGACTTTGGCTCAGGTCACGATCTCACAGTTGATGAGTTAAAGCCCCACATCAGGCTTTCTGCTGTCAGCACAGAGCCCACTTCAGATCCTGTCCCCTTCTCTCTCTCTGCTCCTCCCCGTTTCATGTTCTTTCTCTCAAAAATAAATAAACATTAAAAAAAAAAATGTTCAGTACAGGTTCACCTGCCCTAGTAATTTCTGTAACTCTCTCTCATCTCATCTTCTTTCATACCCGCTTCATTGCCTACATATATCACCCTTTCAATTCAGGATTATCCTGAGCACTTTGCATTGAACTACTAAGTATGCAGGTTCAGTTGCCATCTTTTAAATGTCTGGCAAGCAGAAGAAAATATGAGACAACAGCATGAAAACTCACTGTGAACTCAAGGTGAACAATACATGGACAATATTCAAGAGCAGGGCCTCCCCGCTTGGGCCCATCTTTCTATTCTGCCAGTCCAACATGGTGAGTGTCCCTTGACACAGGAATAAGAGAGTTGACTGCGAGACATCAGCACAACAAAGGCTCCTGCAGCAGTTCAAAAACCAGTCAGGGATGCTGGTACAGTCCACTGAACGGAGAAGCAAACTACTAATCTGGAAAAACATAACAGAGCTAACATGTTACAAAGCCTCTAAAACTGTACAGATATTTCAAGATGTACACCCAAAATTCCCTTTCCCCTGAAACATCCTAGGAAAAATAACTGAACCTAAAGATGAGAAGCCACAAGTGTTAAAGTTATTATTACCAAAAGGGAAAAAATTAAGTCTTAGGATTAAGAATTCTAAGTACGTGAACCATTTTGCTGGTTTGAATGTACTAGTGGAGCAAAACATATCATCCCCTGCAGGTGAATGACCTTAACACTTTTTAGAGGTGATATGAGAAATCAAATTATTAAATTTTATCCAATGGTAAATACTTTGTGTGATCTCATCGAAGAGTACACATCTATTTTGTATAACGTCAGGTAAACAGCTGCTTTGCATAAAGTCAGGTAAACAACTAAAATAAGTTTCTAGATAACAGAGTAGGGGAAGAAAACCCTGCTAGTACTAAATATAAGGATTAGCGCGCAAACTATCAAATTACATTTTCCATGTAATCAAATTCACCGAAAAATTGATTCTCACATGCTTCCAGTCTAAAGTTCAATATTTGGGTTATTCTTAATAAAAAGGACATACTTATCAAAAAGTTAGGACTTCATGTATGTATATATTAATCTCTGCATAATTTTAATATTATAAATATCTTTTATAACACTGAGAGATGGAACTGAACAAACAGCACTAGAAACATGAAGAGGCACCCCTAAAAATGTTGATAGTGATTATCTTTAGGAGGTGGATTTACAGGTGACTACTCTGGTCTTCTTTCTGCTTTTTCTGCATTTTTGGACTGTCTCTTACTATAAGAGAAAAAGATCATCAGAAAGATTCTACTATGCAGAAAGAAATTTTTAATTCATGTCTTTAAAAATATTTTTAAAACATGTGTCTAATTATCAATGAAGTATACAATTCTACAAAGGAGATGCACTCACCAAATCAGGAATCTCTTCAGGTGGGTGAAACATAGCCTTAATAAAAAGAATAACAGCTAATCCAGATGTACTCTGAATTGTCTGTAAAAGGTGATCTATTTGGTAAAAAAGTAGAGAGTGTGGATTAAATGACAATGGATATTCTGGTACAGTGGAAAAAGCACACGCTGCAGGGAGAGAGTCCTGGGTGCAATTTCTAGCATGACCACATCCTAGGTAAATAGGACTTGGGCAAGTTACTTCACCTCCCAGGGACACAGCTTTCTCTTCTGTAATACGGGAAAATATAACTCCTATCTGACAATTATTTTAAGCTTTAAATGCATAACAAACATAAGACTTTTATGCCCAGCACATAAAGACTTAATAAACGTGATTCCTTCCTCTCTCCACTAACACCTACTCTCCCTTCCTCTCCCCGCAGCACATCTAGCAGCAATACCGCTCACTCTCTTCCCTGCACTGAGGCCTCTCCAGCCACATGCATTACTCTTTCTTAAAGTGATTTCGGGGCTTGTGTAAAGAGCCTGCATCAGTGCTAACTGAAAGCTCTGCTATCATTGGCATGTACCCAATGCAACCAATCTTGACTTGCTATTTTCTCTTTGTTTTCTATTAGCCTCTGGTTTGTAATAAAGTTTACCAAATATGGTAAATTATTCAACCGGGGCTAAGACTCAAAAATGCCTACCATAAACTGCCTACTAAATATCCACTGTGCCCTTTATCCCTGCTAACAGAACTGTGACTTTGATTGGGGCATCCATGTACTCAGCCAAAGGCGGGACACTTGCTTCCTCAATCTTGCCTGCAAGTAAAGGTAGCCACGTGAGGGTTCAGGCCAATGGGATAGAAGCAGGTACTTGGGGACTTTTGTTTTTCCTGATTAAAGGTAAGGATGCAACTGGCCCTCCTTCCGGCCGTGAACATAGACATAATGTCTGGAGATACAGCAGTCAAATGGCAACCAGGAGGCAAAAAACGTGAGTAAAAGCCAACATGCTGAAGATGGCAGAGCAGAAAGGCAGAAATGTTTGGGTCCTAGACTGCATACAGTTCGGGATCACCTGCCTCGGAACTTGAAGTTATGTGGGGACGAGGGAGGCATATTTGCTTAAGTGCCTGAAGTGCCTGAAGTTTGGTTTTCTGTTACTTGCAGCTGAACATTTTACTAATACATGAAATTTTAAAATCCTGGGGAAGAACAGCAATGAAGAGGTCCCATCGACGGTTCAGAAAAGGGGCTACCTCTTATTAAAATCAGGCCTTCTCTGTGTTTTACCCATCCTATAACAAATTCCTCTTTTAAAAAGCAAATATCCGGGGCGCCTGGGTGGCTCTGTCAGTTAAGCGTAGGACTCCGGCTCAGGTCATGATCTCGCGGTTTGTGAGTTCAAGCCCCGCATCGGGCTCTGTGCTTATAGCTCAGAGCCTGGAGCTTGCTTCGGATTCTGTGTCTCCCTCTCTCTCTGACCCTCCCCTGCTCACACTGTCTCTCTCTCTCTTTCTCTGTCTCTCTCTCTCACAATAAATAAACATGAAAAAAATTTTAAAAAAACAAATGAAACATCTGAACCAATTCATTAATTTTTTCATTAATATTCATGCATACATGATCATATAGAATGAGAGATAAAAATGAAAAAGTAATTTAACTTTTTGTGAACACGATAAGTATCATTTTTTTTTTGTTAATCTTATTGTAATATAAAACACTGATATAGGAAAACACCCAAAACAAGGGCACAGCTTAATGAATTAACTGAAATGAACACCCTTGTACCTACCGCCAAAAGCAAGAAGCAGGACTCAGACACCCTGCCCGGAAGGCTCATCCACGTGCCTCATCTCAACCACAATCCCCTTCTCTCACCCTGAGTAAGCATTATTGTGACTTTCACAGTAATGGCTTTCTTCTTTTCAGATGGTTTTATTAATCAAATGTGCATCCCGTCCATTTTTTTAAAACCGTGATTTATTTTTTAAATGCATTTTAATCTACAGGTGCCCTCTCTACCCCTTTCATTGCATAACAATTTCTCTATTCAAGAATGCTGGCCTTTGACCTGCAGCATTTCCCACAATCTAGATGTGGGTTTGTTTAGTCCTGATGCAATTCCACACGTTCTTCTCTCTTCTACAATTGCTGTAAATTGGCAGGTGACCTAGAGATTGGTCTCAAGTTCAGTCACTTTGGGAAAAGTACAGGTGGTGAAACCAAGACTAGATCTAAGGGGTATATATCGTCTGGTTGTCTGTTCTGTAAAGTTAGCAGTTGATGATGCTTAATGCCTACGTCAATTCATTGGGGGTTACAAAATGGTGATATTCTACCATTTCATCTTAATTTATTATTTGAAATACTTTTATAAAGACAGACTTCCTCTCATTAACTATTTGGTTTCCAGTGGCACAGTTCATATAAAGAAAAGCAACATATGAGAGATACAAAGGGGAATGATGAATGGCCCCACAAGGATTACTATCATTACTTGAGGATTAATACCTACTGCTGAGGAGAAATGTACAGATTACATTTACCTTTCCAGATTTTCCTTCCAAATTTGGAAATCTATTCTTCTCAAGAATTTTCTTTTGCCACTTAAAGTCTCTGGCTTTTCAACACTAAGACTGTCAGATTTCCTTCTTTACAATACACATACACACATTTAGAAAAGTCCTTCAACATTACCCCTTGGAGAACTGGTACATTTGAAAGAAAAAGCATTAAAACCTCATAATCCAGGGCCTCCCCACTTTAAGGGGCCAGGGGAGAAGTAGTTCTACATGTCAGTTAAGTATCAAACATTTCATACCATTATTAGCGTAAGCTGAACGACACTCAATTATAATCACCATTTTTACGGTTTTACACTTACCATCAATTAAAAACTTGGTGAAAATACTCAGCAATCCACACATACTTTGCCATGTAGGGGAACTGGAAATCCTCACATGAAGTGTTTGAAAGTCTTGTATTTTCTGTACCAACATCACAGAAACTCTAGTGCCTACCGACAAGTCATTCATCAACTGCGTCTGAACAATATGATTTCCGGCAAATTTTCTATAACGAAGAAGAGACGTTATTACAAAAGAAAAGTCACACGAAAATGCCACCATTTCCATCCCTCGATAAAAAACATTCCTCAATCAAAGGGCCAAAATTCATTTTAGGTTATAATAGACATTCATACCTCTCTGTTCCACTCCCATAAACATTCCAATTCTATGGACATTTACTACAAACTTTCAACACTCTTACCTCAACATTTCCCTCCTTCTCAGCCAATGACCAACCTCATTTCTCTCCTTTTAGAGTAAAAGTAGCAGATCCAGAATGAATGCCACAATTTCATAACTTGAACACTCCCTTAACCTTGGTACGCTCTCTTCACCTGGCTTCCAAGACACCAGGCTCTCCTCCACTTTCTCCTACTTCACCATCGCTCCTTCCTAGACACCTTGGCTAATTCATCATCTTCTCTCCAAGCTCTTTATGTTATAGCTCTCCACAACTCAGTCTTTAGTCCCCCTCTCCAGCTACTTTGTTCCCTTGATGCTGATCTCATCCAGCTCATAAACTTTAAATTGTAATCTATATGCTGACAATTCCCCAATTTTTATCTCCAGGTTAGACCTCTCTTTCTAATTCCAGACTTGTATATGCAACTTTCTATTCAATATCTTTCCTTGGATGTCTAACAGACATCTCCAACTACATGAACTCATCTTCAACTCCAAACCTGCTACACCTGCTAGGATCTCTATCCTACAAAAACCCTGTGACTATCCTTGACTTCTTCCTCCCCATCCCATCTGTAAGAAAATCTTGTTCGTCCTACCTTCAAAATACAGAATCAGACCACCTCCACTGCTACTCCTGGCCTGAGTCACTCTTGTCTCTCCCTTGGATTACTGCAGTGGCCTCCTAACTGGTCCCCCAGCTTCTATCCTTGGCCCACCCTCAGTCTATTCTCAACACAGCAGAACACAGAGTGATGATATTAAAACACAAGTCAGGGAAAACAGTCTAAGGTCCCCCAGAAAGTTAAACACTAGATTACCATATGATCCACTAATTCTACTAATTACCATATAATCCACTAATTCTGAAAGTAGAGACTCAAACAGATATTTGCATAACAATGTTTATAGCAGCCAAATGTTTATTAGCCAAAAGGTAGAAGAAACAACCCAGCTGTCCATCAACAGATGAATGGATAAACAAAATGTGGTATATACATACAATGGAATGCTGTATTCAGCCAAAAAGAAATAAAACTCTAATACATGGCACAATATGGATTAACCCTGAAAACACACAAAAAAATAAAAATGGTATTCTATTTGCGTGACGTATCCAGGATAGGCAAATTCAAAGATACAGAAAGAAGAATAGAAGTTATTAGTGGGTGGGGGTAAAAAGGTAGTGAATTTTCTTTTGGACACACTGAATGTGAGACACCTATAAAACATCCCAGTTGAGATGTCCAGGAGGCAAGTGACTATATGAAGCCACCACTTCAGGGAAGAGATCTAACTTGGAGTGAGAAATGTGGGAATCTTGAATATTAGCAGGTGCCTAACACCAAGGAGGTAGATGGTATTAAGCAGTAAGAACAAATAGAATAACAAGGAAAGAACCCACATTCAAGAGATGAGCAGAGGAAGAACCTAAAAGGAGACAGAGAAGGCACTCCTGGCAAGGCAAAAGGAGACCTTGGGTGAAAGATGGCACACAGAGGCTAAAATCAAAAACACCGGAAACAGCAAGTGCTGGTGAAGGTGTGGAGAAAAAGGAACCCTCGTGCACTGTTGGTGGGAATACAAACTGGTGCAGCCACTGCAGAAAACAGTGTGGAGTTTCCTCAAAAAATTAAAAATAGAATCACCATATGATCCAGTAATTTCACTACTGGGTATTTACCCAAAGAATATGAAAACACTAATTTGAAAAGACATATGCATCCCTATGTTTACTGCAGCATGATTTATGATACCCAAGATACAGAAGCAACCCAAGTGTCCACTGATAGATGAATGGATAAAGAAGATGTGATATATACACATATATACATACACACACACATGCATACAATGGAAAATTATTCAGCCATAAAAAAGAACAAAATGTTGCCATTTGCAACATGGATAGATCTAGAAGGTATAATGCTAAATAAGGCAGTCAGAGAAAGGCAAATACCATAGCATTTTACTCATATATGGAATTTAAGGAACAAAACAAATGAACAAAGAAAAAAGAGACAAATTAAAAAAGACTATTAACTATAGAGAACAAACAGATGGTTACCAGGGGGGAGGTTGGTGAGGGGAGGGGTGAAATAGGTGAAGGGGATTAAAGACTACACTTATGGTGAGAAGAACTGGGTAATGTATAGAATTGTTGAATCACTCTAATAGCCTGAAACTAATATAACACTGTATGTTAAGTATACTGGAATTAAAATAAAAATTAATTAAAAAAAAAAAAGAATAGCACACATATATTACCTCTATTCCCTGCCAGAACCTCAGTAAACCAACCACATAAAAAGACATAAATACACAAGGGCAACAAATAGACAACAAGACAATAACAGTAAGCCTTTGGAAGCCACAAAGCAGATAGATAATAACTAACTTAGCAGAATCAACAAAAGTAAATACTAGGCCAGAGAATAATCCCCAAAACGACCTGATTTGCAGCCTCAAAAGGTTAAGAAACTTGGCACCAGGACTCCTTGATGTGGAAATAAATGTAGGGCTGAAAATAAGAAGACGGGCTACAAGTCTGTTGAAGGACAGTAAGAACCAGCAAACAAGTGGCTTACCTCTAGGGAAGGTAAAGCAACACCAGATTGCAAACAAGCGAATTAGGCAAATATATGAACAATGAATGCCAAACGCCATGACCTCAGCGTTTTTCACTCCCTCAGCAACCAGAAGATTAAGCCAACGGTTTGGTTCCATGGTGAATCCACTACCCATGCAAAAAGACCTAAAGATATTGACATCGGAGGTTTTCCAAAGAAATAGCCTAGCTAAACTAGCCTACAATAAAACCTGCCATCAACCCCACCCATATACAGTTTCAAATCAACTCTCAGTGCCCCATCCTTAAATATGAGTGCTAGGCTAAAAATCACCAGACTTCTAAAGAAAGCTTCCAGTTTCATATAGTGAAGTGACCGAAAGCATCAAACAGAAAAAAAATAGCAACATAAAAGAACTAGGACTATGCAAAGGTAAGAAAACTATGTTTAAAAACAAAACAAAACAAAACCCTATCATTAATATCCCCAGAAAAATAACAGGATGTTTCATTTATAAAAGAACAGACGCTATGAGTAAGGAACACTCAGGGAGGAAGGAACTCTTGCTCATATTCTCCTAAAAATTTATTTGATTTTTTTAAGTTGATTTATTTATTTTGAGGGTAGGGGGAAGGAGAGAAAGAGGGAGAGAGAGAATCTCAAGCAGGCTCCACACTGTCAGCACAGAACCCGATGAGGGGCTCAATCTCACAAACTGTGAGATCACGACCTAAGTCGAAATCAAGAGTTGGACGTTTAGCTGACTGAGCCACACAGGTGCCCCTTTCTGATTTTTTAAATTAAATATCAAGGGGCGCCTGGGTGGTGCAGTCGGTTGAGCGTCCGACTTCAGCCAGGTCACGATCTCGCGGTCCGGGAGTTCGAGCCCCGCGTCGGGCTCTGGGCTGATGGCTCAGAGCCTGGAGCCTGTTTCCGATTCTGTGTCTCCCTCTCTCTCTGCCCCTCCCCCGTTCATGCTCTGTCTCTCTCTGTCCCAAAAATAAGTAAACGTTGGGAAAAAAAAAATTTTTAATTAAATATCAAACCTCTAAAAAATACATTTAAATAATCAGGTCTAATATTAACAGAGAGGAATGGAATGAAGCATGTTCTGGAAACTTTTTAAAAATTTCCTGTGTACAAAGATAATGCACAACCACAAGTGTTCATGCACACATGCACAAGCAGACAGATACTACTTGCCTATTTTCTTCAGAGATTTCAGTTAAACTCTTCTGCATAAAATGAAGCACTGAAACAAAAATAATATATAATGACAAAGCAGAACCTAAAACTGTGAATTTTAATGTCAATATAGGAAAATATTTTAAGTCACTATTACCTACAGTGATATCATGGTATAGAAGTAGAAATTTAAAAGGAATATTTAAAAGGAAGGGACGTGATGTACGTTGGTAATCTGCAAAACTCTACCCATTGCCAAGAAACCGAAAACAACCAGTTCCAAAATGACTCATACAAGCAGTTACACCCTCAGAATAAAATAAAAGAATGGGACTTACCATTTTTAAGAAGATTACTAACACCTGCTCTACCTGTGGGAATAAAAAAATTAACACTGGTAGGGAGCCTCAGGACCAAAACTAACATTAACAAAACTGTTTAAAAACAATAACGTAATGATAGAAAAAATACTACAAAAGAGCTGGCTTACCTACGTCAAAGTTCTCCATACAGGAAGATATATTGTCAATTACTTTCCTATAAGAGTACACATCAGTAGTACTCAATTCTTCCTGAAGACGAGAAGTAAAACTTTGTACAGCCTCAGTTAGAAAAAATTCAGGTAGGCCATTTAGTGAGCTAGAAAAAGAACCAAGCATTAGAAATCTGCAACCATGTAGTATGTAGAAGGGAATCATACAAATGAAGTAATACTGGACTACATCTTCAAAATACAGCCAGAAAATTTTAACTTCATGCCACAATTGTTGAACTCCTTGCTTCCATCTTGCTTCCCTCCTCAATACAGAAGCCAGAGTGATATTATAAAAACACTGTGTTAATCTTCTGCTTAAAATTGCCCCACATGTCCATCTCAGTCCAGTTGGTTGCCATAGCGCTGACAATGACTTACAAGACTCCACAAACTCTAGCCCCACCACTATCTCTCCAGCCTCATCTTGATCCTTGTTGACTTAGCTCTAGCTGCATGGCCTTCCTTGTGGCAACAATATAACAAAGTCTTTGTTCTTGCTATTTCCTCCAACTGACACTCCTCCCTCAAATAGACCCAATAATAATCATTCCCTTGTCCCTTTCAGGTCAATCTCAAATATCACCTTATCAATGTCATTTTAGCAAAGATATCTGAAGTGACCACCATATTTTAAATTGCAACCTTCACCCCATCCTTGATGCTCCCATCTCCCATCACTGCTTTATTTTTCCCAATCACATTCATTTCATCTAATCCTATATATTTTGACTATTTGACTATTTTCAATCTTCCTCTTAGAATGTAACCCCCATCTATACTGCCTTATTCACTGTATCCCCAATGCCTAGAATATTTATTTGACATAGAGTAGATAGTCAATAAAAATTCACTGAATAGGGGCACCTGGATGGCTCAGCTGGTTAAGTGTTGGATTCTTGCTCTGGGCTCAGGCCATGATCTCACGGTTGTGAGATTGAGCCCCATGTTGGGCTCAGCAAGGAGTGCAGAGCCTGCTTGGGATTCTCTCTCTCTGTCCCTCCCCTGCTCGTACACATGCTCTCTCTCAAAATAAACAAATTTTTAAAAAAATTTTTGAAGAGATAAATTTAATTGTGTCAATTTTACCTCAATTAATCTAAATCAAAACCACTAGGGGGCGCGTGCGTGGCTCCGTCCGTTAAGCTTCTGACTTCAGCTCAAGTCATGATCTTGACATTAATGGGTTTGAGTCCTGCATCAGGCTCTGTGCTGACAGCTCTTCCTCTCTCTCTGCCCTCCCCTGTTCACACTGTCTCTCTCTCTCTCTCTCTCAAAAATAAATAAACATTAAAAATTTAGAAAAAAAAAGTAGGAATTTTTTTTAATTGCCTAAAGAGTTCTAAAGCTCTTCTAGAAGAAAAAGAATTTAGAAATAGGAATAGTCTGAAAAAGAAAGGTCACCAAAGGGATGACGTGCTTCACTATATAATTAAACTACATTATCACACTATAGGAAATGAAAGTGTGGTATGGGTGAGTAAACAAATAGACACAAATCTAAAATTAAATCTATGTTTATACAGGAACACAGAACATAATAAAATGGCATTCCAAATAAATGGGAAAGATGGACTATTCAAAAGTTTGGGGATAAGTGGCTCCCCATTACAAAAAAGAAAACTAAATTGGATCTCTAACGTATGGTCCGCTCAAAGCTTAACTCCAGATGAATTTAAAAATTAAACAAAAAAGAAATAAATTTTAAAAGACAAGCATGTAATTTTATATGATCTTATCCTAGAAAAAGTATACATAAGCAAGGCATGAAACTCAGAAATCTATACAAAGAAAAATATTAGTAGATTCGATTACCAAAAAAATAATTTGTAATTTTTAAAAAACAAACACACTATAATCAAAGGAATACATTTGCCACATAATCTATATAAAGCTGTTATAAATCAAGAAGACATTCTGTGGTTGCTGACTTCCTGGAGGCATTCCCCATGCCCTTTTTTTTTTTTAATTTTAACGTTTATTTATTATTGAGAGACAGAGAGACAGAGCATGAGCATGGGAGGGGGAAGAAAGAGGGGCAGACACAGAATCTGAAGCAGGCTCCAGGCTCTGAACTGTCAGCACAGAGCCTGGCGCGGGGCCTGAACACACAAACCGTGAGATCATGACCTGAGCTGAAGTCGGATGCTTAACTGACTGAGCCACCCAGAGGCCCCCCCACATGCCCTTTTTTATTGGCAAAACCCACCTCCCACTACAGAGGTGTGAGAATCTTGCTTCCCAGCCATTCTTAAAACCAGAAGGAGGGTATATGACCCAATCTTGACAACACAAAGTGATAGGAACTCTACTGAGACCTCCTGCAAAATGTTTTCTCTCCAATAAAAAGAGTTGGAAAAGACTTGTTTTCTGGATGCAGTCATGTCTGTCTAAGGTGCTTGTAACTGCTACAGTCCCTTGTAATTCTGAGGGAAGATATGGCCAACACATGGGAGAAAAATGGAAAACATCAAGATTTTTGATGACATGGTTGACTGCTTCACCAAAACCCTAGAACTGGCCACTATCTGATCATTTGCTTTTTGACACATTAAATAAATTTACTTAAGTAAGAAAAAAAGTCATTCTAACAAGAAGACACACAAAAGATATGTAATCACAAACAGTCAAACTGTGCATATTAAAAAATATTCAATCTCAGCAATCTGGGAAATGAAAAGTAAAACATAGTACTATTTTTTACCCAATAGATTTTTAAAGATATAAAGATTGATATTATCCAGCATTATAAAGGTATGAAGACACTGGCACTCTGGTTCACTGTTAGGGGGAGTACAGATTAGCAATGTTTTTGGTAAAGAAATTCCACTTCTAGGAATTTATCAGAAAATACACAGAACAACTATATACGTGATTAAGAATATCACTGCATCATGGAATAATGAAATTGGAATAATGAAAACAAAACACTAAATATCAGTGAGAAAGTGATTAAATTTTGTATACCCATATTATGGAATACATATAGCTGTAAGAAAAGATAAGGACTTTGGGTGGGAACATAAAATAGTAAAGACATTATGGAAAACAATATGGAGGCTCCTCGGAAAATTAAAAATAGAACTACCATATGATCCAGTAGTCCTATTTCTGGGTGTATATATCCAAAAGAACTGAAAGCAGGATCTCAAAGAGATATTTACACACCCAGCATGTTCACAGCAGCATTCTCCACAACAGCCAAGAGGAGGAAGCAACCCAGATGTCTATCAACAGATGAATGAATGAATACAATGTGGTACATATGGACAATGAAATATAATTTAACCTTAAAAAGGAAGAAAATCCTGCCACATGCTACAACATGGATGAACCTTGAGAATATTATGCTAAGTAAAATAAGCCAATCAAAAAGGGACAGACACAAATATTCCACTTATTTGAGGTAACTAAAGCAATCAAATTCATAGAAACAACTGTGGTAGCTAGAGGGTAGGGAGAAGGAAAATGGGGATTTGCTGTTTAATGGGTATAGATTTTCAGTTTTGCAAGATGAAAAAGCTCCAGAGATCCACTGTACAACAATGTAAATATACTTAATACTCAAAAATGGTTAAGACGGCAAATTTTATGTTATGTGTTTTTTAACACAATTTTTAAAAAAGAATAAGGACTACACCGATACGAAAATATCGCTATGACATTCCTTTTTTTTTTTTAAAGTTTATTTATTTATTTTTGAGAGAGAGACAGAGAGAGCAAGCAGGGGAGGGGCAGAGAGACAGA